TTTAAAGATAATTTATCAGATCTATATCTTTTTTCAGATCTAGTCTTAGCACAAGTAAAGGTCAAAATTTCTCACAAAATTTCAATTGTGAATAGAAGCACTACAACAAGCATAACAGGTTCTCTTCACTTATATTATAAATTTAATCTTCTTTTAGACTCCTATTTCTCCATACTTCCAGAACTACCCAATAAACCTAGTAACCTCTCCAAAGAAATTGCTCACATTTTTCCAGTTAAAAAAAGAAAGGATCTTAGAAACTTAGATGACATGATTAGGGAGCTCAAAAGATTTTTCACTATTCTCTCCAAAATTCCTCCCACCTATTTTGATTTTCATTTCCAAAAACTGCTCTCCCTTTTTTTTATGATAAACTAAAGCCTGAATTTATTCATCTCTTTCTATTAGACACATCCATCTATAGTATTAGAGAAGTCGTTAGAAACCTTAGAACCAAATACTTTTTTGATCAACTTCTCTCTAACTTTTTCAAATACAAAAATCTTCTTTTAACATTTTTATCAGTTATTAACAAATACAAATTCAAATTAGAAATTCAAATTTATACCACAAATCTTTATGATATACAATTTCTAATTAAAAATTTTAGGAAGGATTATAGATTCTTTTTATCACTTGAACTACATTGGATTGATTCACAAATATTTTAAACTAACAAGCTCAAACTTTTATCAAAATTGAAGAATATTAATCCAAGCCTAAAAATCAATCACTTATTATACAGTGATCCTGATTTTAAAGAAAAAATCCAAATTCTTCACAACTATTATGAATTTTAAAGAATTCCAGAAAATTGATTTATCAATCCACATATTACTTTACCAGAGAGCCTTAAAGAAATCAATAGAATCTTAAAAAACAAAAACTTAATGCCATATGTTTTTTTTGATTGATAACAATTTCCTTCCAACTCTTATTTACTAACTACACCAAACATTTCACTTCTTCAAATTTCCTAAATCTCTTATCATCAAAAAGATACTTCTTGAATTAGAATTTGATCTCATTACCTTCTTAGATTAACTTCTTTATAAGTACAATTATTATTAATTTTGAAACAGTTACTTTAATATCACTTCATCATTACACATCAATTTCTAAATCCAAACAATATTACCTAACACTCCCAATTACAATAGCTCAGATAATATTCAAAATCTTATCACTATTACCATTATCAATATTAGAGGTCTCAATAATTCAGTCAAACTTAAAGCACTAATTAACAACACAGACAGCAAATCAATTCTCTTATACACAGAAACAAAACTTAAAAAAGAAAACTTTCACCTAATTAATATTAATGGAAGAGCAATAATATATGGCAAATCTAGCATATCAAAAAATGGCACCATGATAGTTATTGGCAAAGACCTATTACCACATATATTCAAAATATGGATATGTCCAAGTTCTATTCCTTTATTATTCTAAAATTCAAAGGAAAGGTAAATATTTTTCTCTCTATGATCTATTTCTTACATGAAAGAAAAAAAAAAGATCTAGCCATCAGACAGATCTATCAAGTAATCAAATTTGACATCTGCAACAAACTTCATCATATGATCACAGAAGATTTTAACTCTTATTCTAAGACAGCCTTTCTATTGAAGTCAAAACTTCATTCCACAAAAAATTAGTGTACAAACATTTTATTAACTATATAGATACAAGACAACAATATGACAACAAAGCATTAATACATTATACTGCCACTAGTGCTTCCTGTATAGATTAGATATGGGTTTCAAGAAATCTTGTCTCCAAGATAATTTGATATAATATACAGGATAAGGATGGGTCCCTAAACTATTTAGCATATAAAATTTTGCAGATCAATTATGTCCCTTTTGAAAGGACATAATTATTTATTCATTACTTTAATAGGGACATAATTCAAAAAACACTTGGATCAAGTGGCCTAAATTGCAAAAAACCTTTGTAGATAGTTTTTTTTTAATCTTATATTTAAAAAAAAAACTTTTTTAATAGTGAGGGACATTTGAATTATGTCCTCGCCTTTAATTTAGAGACCTATCTTTAAATATAAGTAATTATTTTTAAAGATGAACTGAAAATTTTTTTGATGTGATTCTATAATTTATATTATATATATATTGTTTAAAATCTGGATTTGAAAAAATCATATCTAGCATTTTTGTAGTCTTCAAAAATAATTACCCATATATATGCTTATAAAACCAACTGATAAATGGTTAAATCAAAAAAAAACTTGCTAGGGTTAACTAGATATAATATAATATTAGTTTCCACTACATGACTTATTGTTATTCTGGAAAATTCTAATCTCATATTATCTTTTCAAGTGTACAAAAAAAAGTATAGCATGAAAGAACTGCTAATTTGTCAAGACCTACCCAACAAGATCTTTGCATCATCTGATGCAAAGAATCTTAATAAGTGGTTCTTTGATCTCTTAATGAATATAAAATTTTTAAAAAAATTGCAAAGATAAAAAAATGTAATTGGTATAGTGTGCATAATTTATGTATTGCAGAAAAACCTCTCTAAACCTGCAGACCTTTCTATATTTGTGCTTGTATATTAGAAGAAACTACTTAAAATATGTCTATAAACTATTGTGTTTACTATATACAGTATGTATATGATTACCCATCTCTTTACATCTTATTGTTGATCTTGACCAGTCTGAAAAATCTTTAACTAGGATTTGCCATTTGCTTTCTAATTTGAGTGAAGTACTACCATTGCTATCCATTATAATTAAATAAAGTTCAACTCACATAGTATCAAGACCCAAATAACAAAGCCTTAATACTGTACACAGGTAGAAACAAGAAAGAGAAGAACTAGAAATGTTATGATGTTTGTTTAAAACTTCCTATTTGGATTTGTGTATGTGAAATGTCTTTGTACTTGTTAGCCTATATCTTTTAACTATAAAAGAAATATTACTCAAATTTAATCATTAAGGAGCCAAACAATCACTTCAATGATACTTTTAACTTTGTTATTTAGGACACTTGTTTAGAAATAAAAATATTTGCTTTTGGCCTTGCAATTTCTTTACCAGCAAGAGTTTATCTTTAGAGAGAGTACAATATGATGCTGCTAATATAAGAAATGTATTTTCTAAAAAGAAAATTTTTAAGAATAGTGGTGTGAATAGAAAAGAGTTTTTTTTGTCAGTAATTATTATAATAGCAACTAAATGATTGTTATATTACTATATTTTTTATAGATATTATAATCTTAATATCTACTAGATTAATATATTGTTATATCTTATTTCTACTTTAGGAAAAAGATAAAGACAGAAACTAGTTAACCATCAAGTAAGGAGGCTTTGATGAAATCACACTATCGCCACTCCTTCTGTGAATAAGATTTAATCTCAATGGCACCTGAGTATGTAGGAGTTGCGTCCTGCTTGGCATTCGTGCCCCTATATTTGGCAGCCAAGGCCAACCAGTCCCGAACTGGAGTGTCTACTAGGAGGTTTAGGGTTGATACCCTTCAGGAGTCACACTCCACTTGGCCAAATGGCCCCTAGATTTGGTAGTGTCCAACTAGTGGTCAAACCAGAGCATTCACTAGGAAGTACATATCAACCTTGAGGGTTTCACTGACACATTAGGGAGGAGCAGTAGGAGTGATGTGAGAGGCCACTTATGTAGATGGCTAATAGCATATGTCCCATAAGAACAATAAGACCCATAAGCCCTATAGATTAGGTAGTTTAAAACTAACAATAGGATTTCTACCCCCTATAGCCCCCTGGTATCACGAGGAAAGGTTATTAAGTAACAGGCTTCTGGGTACCAGACGAATAAAGTTGATAGGCTAGCATTTAGTTGTAGTCATGTATTACAAAGGATGCTTGATGTAATGGATAAATTGGTTTCAATAAAGAATTTGCATTTAATGCCATTTAACTTTTAAAAAAAAAAAAAAAAGATAAAGACAGAAACTAGTAACAAAGAGATACTTTATTTGGAAGGATTAATATGATATACTAAAGTTTTTAAAATGTATTAAAATTAGTATAGTTCTAAGATATATAGGATCAAGTGAAAGAGGCAATGATAATTTGTTTTGTAAGATCAATTTATTTATTTGGTAAAATAAAAGTTCAATCTGTTAATTCCTAGGTAAAATTGGAAGCTTTATATATATATTTGAGTTATCTCTTAATTTATAAGGCATTTTTTTTATAACATTTAAAATTTTTAACTAAAAAGATGTTTTTTATTTATTTTTTTAAATAATTAAAATATTTTTCTAAAAATTTATATAATATTAGTTTGAAGTGAATTACTGTGCCAGTGACAAAAATATATGCATTAATAACATTATACCATAATTCTATTAGTATTTCACAACTATATGCACTGTTAAATGATCCAATTTTTGTAAGCTTTACTGCTACGTACGTATTCTGAAAAATAAGCATTACTATGCCACATATTATATAATTATAACCTCATATTATAAAGTGGTATTTAGAGTTTTTTTTTCTTTCTCAACAGGAATCCCAATAGAAGATCCTACCTACTTCACTCTTGACCATGACTGGTCATTGTTGAGTTTCTTACTCTATTGACAACAGAGTGATGATTTCTTAGACAAATGTATTGAACACAAAAGATACCTTTGCAACCTCTCAACTATAGTCAACTATAAAAATTTATCCGATACTGCAATCGAACGAGCTGTCATGGCACTCTCATCAGTACAGGTCAAGTATTTTTCTTTTCTTTCTTTTTTTTGTTAGTAGTGGACGGGTCCAAAGGGTAGTGATTTGAGTCAAATTAAATCCGTCAACTCAGTCAATTAAGTTATGCAGGGGTCAACTGAGTCGACTTAGTTGATATATAATTGGTTCAATTTATTCATATGTTAATTGGATAATTCGCTCATTGTTAAGATATACTTTGATAAATTTCAAAGTGCAAATGTACAGTACATATTCAAAAATTATTGAATTAGTCATTATCATGAATAATTCTTCCAAAGATAAAACTGAAACAACATATAATAATTTGGGTTCAACATCATCTATTATACCACATATTCAAGTTATTCCTGCTAAACAAGAAGCCGAAAATTGGATCTGGTCATATATTCAAAAAAAAACTTGCTGTTGTCAAGTTCTGGTCGAAAAAGATAGTGCAAAATATCAATGTGAATGGTTTTGTCAAAAAAAAACAAGCACAACTAGTATTGCTGATTATTTGAGAATGAAACATCGAATTATTGAAGGAAAAGAGGATATTGAAACAGAAATAGTTTCAAAACAAGATAATAATTTTTTTCTTTATCCATATAAGAGGAAGCAAATTACAAATTGTTTATTAGCCTGGTTAATAGATAACATGCAAGTATTTCATATAGTAAATAATTCTAAATTTCAAGAATTATTTTATGAAGCTGTATCACAATATTCTGTTCCGTGCAAGAATAGTTTATACAAAAAAATGAGTGAAGCTGTCAGTATTGGAGAAAAAAAATTGGATAAATTAATGGCAGATTCTATGGAAACTTTTTTTTTCACTACCGATTTATGGATGCAACATCATATATCTTATATTGGAGTTACAATACATTGGATGACTTCGGATTTCGAAATTAAACAAGCACTACTTACAATCACAAATTTTTTATATCCACATACGGGTGACAATATTGAAGATTATTTACGTAAGGAATTTCAGAAATGAAATATTATGACAAAATTATTTGGAGGTAGGGTTCCGAAAAAGTACCGAACTGGTATCAAACTGATATCGAAATGGTACCGATCTATAGTAAATTTAATATATGGGTTGTGACCTACTCATATGTTTTTATAGTAAATTTAAGTATCGAACTGGTATCGAAGTAGTATCGAAGTGGTATCGTTAGGAACCCTATTTGGAGGTACAACGAATAATGATTCTTCAATGATAAAGGCAATACATCAACTAAAAACAAATCATATTCATTGTGTGGTACATATTATGTAACTTGCGATTAAAGATGGATTAAAAAATATTAAAACTTTAATCGATACAGCTAAAAAATTAAATAATTTTATATCAAATCATGATAAATATCATGATTTGTTAAAAATAACTTTTCGTAAATTAAATAATTCAAGTAAAAATTTATTTATTTATTTATTTACTTATTTAATTTATTATTTATTTCATAATAGAATTATCTACGCGAGAAAATAATGTTTTAGATCCAATTACATTTGATACCGATATACGTTGGAATAGTACTTTTTTTTATTAGAAAGGTTAATTTATTTTTGTAACACACTTCCTATATTAGCTAATAAGCTTATATTAGATTCTAATAGAGCTATTTGTAATGATGGTAATAATTTAAAAAAATTATTACTTAATTCAAAAGATTGGATAGCACTCGAAGAATTAATTTTATTATTACAATCTTTCGTTGATGCAACTAATATTACATCTGGTAGCATTTATTCAACTCTTTCATTATGGTACCCTACTTTATACTGTTTACGAGAATATTTAAAAACTATAGTATATAGAATTACAAATCCTCAAATTATTATAGTATGCAATGAAATTTTAACTTCATTGCATAAACATTGGAATATTCCCGATAAAATAGGTTGTATCGCAAGTTTTTTAGATCCTAGATTTAAATTTTTAAAATTTTTAACATCAAATCAGATAGAAGATATCAAACAAAATTTAAAAAAATATATCGAATTATCAGAAATTTCAACAAATTCTATTTTATCACAAAATATTCCTTCTTCAACTAATACTAATAATTCTTCAATGTTTATAGATTTTTTTAATAACAACATATCTTCGCAACCTCCTATATTCCCAATTGATTTAGAAATTTTTCTTTATTTACAACTTTCTATTATTTTCGTAGTTCCTTTAAATCATCCTAATTATCACCTTCATAATCTTTTACAATGGTGGTGTGAAAAAAAAACTACATTCCCTTTATTATATAGACAAGCACGTAAATTTTTATCTATACCTGCTACATCCATTCCATCTGAAGGACTTTTCTCTGATGCAGGCAACATGATTACCGATAAAATAAATAGATTAAATCCTAACACCATTCACAATTTATTATTTTTACAGGAAAATAATTATTTAGATGTATTTTCAAAACAAAATTAGATATACACATATATATTTTTTTTTAAATATTAAATAATTTTTTAAAAAAATTTTTCTTTATTTATATAGTTATAAGTGAAAATATGAACCGTGTTGCGCAATGCGCTATATATAATACTATCAACATATATCTTAAAGTATAAACACGAATTGAGTTTCAAATTTAACTAATTAGACTATAGCACTTAAAAATTATAAATAAAAAGAAAAATAATATATATTAGAATAAGTCTGGTTATTTTAAAAATAAATCTGTAATAAACTCTTACTTATATTTTGATTTTCCGTGACTTGTAATAATAAAAAACCTATAATTTCTCTTAAAGACAATAAAGACAAACATTAGTTTGTATGCCACTAAAAAAATTGTAGCTAGGTTATGTTGTCTTGTATTACCTGTGGAATAAAAGACTACAAGTTATCACTTTGTCAAGTCTAAACCATATCTGTGAGAGTTAAAGCCTTACCTATATTCTAGTAAATACTAGACATGTAATAAACAATAGTTCCGGGTTAGCGACTGAATTGCCATACAAAACAACAATACTTATAAATTAAAGAGAAAACAAATTTGCATTTCATTACTTCAAAAATTTCATAAAAAAATGAATTTGTATTATATAAAAAGAGATAAAAATTTAAAAAAAAATATTATTTCTACAGTTTTTCAGAAAGAGATAACGAAAAAACGATGTTATCTACGAGATGAAAGCATGTATTTTTTTTATCCAATTAAAAATCATATATACTGCATACTCCTGAATGACTAAGTCGACTCAGTTGACGGCTTAATCAATAACTCAGTCAGTCAACCGTTAGCTGATCGACTTCAATCCCTATCGAAGGATAACAACGTTTTCAGATAGGGTTTTGTCCTGCATTCAATCACCCAACACCCCTGATCTCGTTCGGGAGTGCATAAGTCTTGTCTCGGGTGGTTCCGTCCAGCCTAAAGTGCATATTTGATTGGTTTTGTCCTGCTTAACACACTTGATCTCATTCGGGAGTGTATGAGTCTTGCCTCGGGTGGTTCCATCTTACTGGAGGTGCATTAATTGGTTTTCTTGGTTGGAAATGAACAGGTCTGAGGAGCAATAGCTTTTTGGATGGGTCTCGTCCTGAATTAAATCACCCAACACTCTTGATCTCACTCAGGATTGCATGAGCTTTGTCTTGGGTGGTTCCGTTCTTGCAACCGGAATGTATGAATGATTAGATCTTTTCTCTTTGGCTTTTACTCCTTATTGAATCATTAATAGAAAGAAAAAAAGTCAGATTTAGTCAACGAATTCTGGAAGAAGGTCATCTTAGTACAAAAATGGAAAATTAAGACTATATCTGAACGCTCGGCTTTAGTTGTATGTATTTAATCTACCAATATAGCAAGGCACATGACACAAATGTTTTTATCGCTCTTTTATTTTCGCAGGAGGAGCTTACTACCACAACTGTGCGTTCGACTCTCCAACAAGATAATCATGAACATCTTGTACGAGAGAATGTTACAAGATGGCTAGGTTATACAAATGATGGTTGTTCACTACAAAATAAACGTTCACGTATGACTCACCAGGAAGATTCAGCCGAAGAAGGCATTACTCAAAAAGATTTACTGAATTCGGTGATTGAAGCTTCAAATATCTTCAGAAAAGTCGAATTCCCATCATATTATGATAAGCTTAAAACTATTTGACATAACCGTGGTGCTGGAATGAATTATTACATAATTGATCTTAGAGATAGTGAAATATTAAATCAAATACATGAACTTTTGTGTGAAAATGAATTAGAAATGTTGTTTGAGAGATTGATTTTAGATGATGAGAATAATTATATAAGCACAAAAGCGTGTGGATATTTGACGTTATTCGATCAAATTATAGATCCTTCGGAGGAAGATACTATGAAGTAAATAATTTAGAAGATGTTAATATTAAGAGAAATATCAAAGACGAAATCATTTCTGAAATGGACAAAACAGTACATAGTCTGAATGAAATAACCACAAAATTTCGATATCTGTCAAACACTCTTCCCATTCCAGTACAACAATATGATCAATCTCAATTTCCCGATATACACATTATCAAAAGCATTTCTAGTCATTTACATGTAGATGCTATTACTAAAATGAATAAAATTGTGGAAAACACCTCAGAACGATCGTGGACAGCACATGTCTTAGCATACCTTTTATTATTACATTTAGTTTTATTGACTCTATACAATGTTTTTCATGTGAATGAACCATTTCTACAAAGTTGAATTCGAAAGTTATCAACTATAGAGCAGATAGAGTAGCAGAATTTCGTAAGCGACCCAAGCAAATTCCAATGTTTTTGCTTGAAGTTTCCGGAAATCCTAATAATTCAGATCCTGATAAATTTGCTACTGACAGAAAAAAATTAATGAATGAAGGTGTTTTCGCCCTTAAAAAGTTTATGACAAAAACAAACTTGCCAACATGGGACGTATATAAGATTTGGAGGATTTTTCTGGCTCAAGGATTTGATAAGTTATTTTAGAATGTTTTTGTGCGTAAAATGTCTATATATTTGTTTTAACATTTAATATACCGTTACAGATGATAGTCTCGAGATTGGTCAAATGATCTATATTGGACCTGGTTTATATTTATTCCCACTCTTTACAGTCCCTAATTTTATTATTTCAACTTTCACCACTGGTTTGGGATATGCACCTCGACTAATTCGAACACTTCTATGCTTGAGATATAACATTATTAAGAAGATCAAAAAGTTTAAGGAATTTGAAAGAAAAGGACAGCGATACATTATGAAGCCCAAGACTAAGTATGCTACTGGACTTATACCAGGACAGTCTAAAGTTGGAATGTTTGCACAATTTTTATCTAAAATATCAAAACAAGAGAATGTAACAAGAGAAAGATGTCATACTTCAGGTTCTGTATAAACTATATATAAAACTTTCTCAGTAGTTAGATGATTTCTATTTCCCAATTAGTCCCCCTGCACTAAACATTGACTAGAATTTAGTAAGGATATGAGGTTAATATAAAATGGCAAGTAAAAACAATTGGGTATAAAGATCAATTTGGAATAATGGAGTAAAATAAAAAGGAATATATTGCATCTGAATGTTCTTGTCTAGGGATTAAGTCAATATTTTCGTATAAAATTTGTCAAAATTCTAGTAGTCAGATAAGGTGACTAAGTTCATAAAATTCCTTTATATTATAGGAAATTCCCTTTCCTATAATATTATTGTTAAATAATAAAAAATCATTTAAACCAGCAAGGAAAAAGGCTGGAGCTATATAACTTCTATGAGTATATAATTCGTTCCAGAGGGGTTTGTTATAGTTGTAAATATTTTTTGTTATTTTAATATTTGTATTAAAAAAAGTCATGAATTTATTAATGCTTATGGATAAAATGATTAAGTATTTATGATCTGTGATTTTGAATAGGCATAGATGTAAGCAGATAGTATATTATATTTTTTTACTATTTATACTATAAGAGTTAATCAACTTTCTCTAAAGTAATAAAGGTTACAGGTAGGAAAAATCCAAATAGCATACTGAATAAGACTTGGAATAACTGAATTTTTTTGAAAAGTAAGATGGAAGTTTTATTGTTTGAAAGTTTGAAAACTAATAACTTAACTGTTGTAAAATTTAATCTGTCTTATAGTTTTATTATATTGAGGCTAGTTAGCAGATATTCTTTCAACTTCTAATTTGCTTTTAATATCCTTGTTAAACCTGGCTTGTATATTTTAATTTCAATTTTATCAAATAATGTTATGTATATAATATAATCAATATAATTCAATATTAAATCTGTCTGATTATATAAAGAACCTTTTCAAAGTCTTTATTTATAAACCAACAAGCAAACAAATAGTTATGTAATCAAATTGTTAACTTTATTATAGGGATGATTTTGTTTTTCCTATATAAAAAAATAGTTAATACATTTGATTTTTTAATATAAATAATCTAATTCCAATTATAAAAACATAAAATATTAAGTATAATGTTTAAGTAATTTATGTAATATACAAAATGAATCATAAAAGAAATGAAAATAAAAAGAAAAAAAATAATATAAAATATACAAATAATTACTACATATTATTTTATATTATAAAACTAAAATTTAAATATGAAAAACAATATAAAATAATAATAATAGATATTTAATCTAGAATCAAAGTTTACACTAGACATGTTTTCTTATTACTATAAAAGGAAATTTGATTGACAATACAATTCCAAATTAAATATAATTTCTAATTATTTACTAATTGTTACTTAGTAATATGAACATAATAATGTTTTTGAAAAATATCTAAATTAAATATAAATATATGTATAGTTTATACTATAAAATATTTAATAAAATTATATCAAAAAATAGAAAACAAATATGATTTACAATAGTATAGACTTTGTTAATTATTTAATCAATAGGAATTATTGTAAATTAGGGTCTATTAATAGTAATAATGAAATTCTTGACTTTATGATACTTAAACAAGAATATCTGATATAATAGAAGGTGTAAAGATTAAAAAAGATATAAATTTGGCAAGTTTATATGATTTTAAAAGATTTATTGATCAGAACAGTTTTATAAGTTAGTTATTTTTAACTAGTAAATATTTTTTTTTATTAATTAACTTTCATTTTTTTTTGCTACATTTTCTTATATCACTTTTATACTTTTTTATAGCAGGAGAGAATAAAAAAACTAAAAGAAATATTTGAAATATTTGAAATAAAATAAATAAAAGAAATAGTAAAATTAAGAGTTGATTATTCCTTTTAACAATCTCTATAATACATAATTATCATTTCTCAATATCTAATCAATATTGTCAATTGATATTTTTTTATAACAGTATAAGCATAAATTATTATATTGAATTATTTTAAGTTTTTAATTAAAAATAATTGTTATAAAATTTAATATTTTGTTTTTAAAGTGTATTTTAATTATTTTGATTATAGATTTTCTAAAGATATATAGTGTTGATCTCAATAGCAAGTCTGCTACTAATCTAAATCTGGACTTTATACTATATTAAGAGTAATAGGTCTCTATTGCTAGCAATATTAAAAATACTTGTAATAATAATTATTTTAATTTTTTTTTTATCTGGATTTCTTTTTCAATTCTTTATTACAAATTTGTGAGACCTGAAAATTTTTAGAATAATTAAAAACAAATAAAGTAAGTTTATTAATTATAATTGCACTAATACAAATAATTAATTTTACAAGAAATAGTGTTTATTAATTAATTTGTGTCTATTTGTTTATTTTGAGTATATTAGATATTTAATTACTATAATATATTTTTTTAATTTATTATTGTGTTATGCAAAATTAACAAACTTTTATAAACTTGGTATTCATTAATCATATATGACTAATATATAATCAATGTTTCATATAATATTATATAAAACTCTTATGTTTTTTTTATTAATACAAATATCAATTTTATTTTTAATTTTTGTTTAAAAAGTTTTTTATAATATCAATATTATTTTTATTAAAGAGATAAAAGATATATTGATAATTAAAAAAGAAGTTAAGAATCTTTAGAAGTATTATATCTAAAAATATTCCATATAATAATTTTTATATTTTTATATTGATTTTTAATAACATGGAAATATTTTTAAAGTTTTTATAATTTTTTTTTAAAAGCAAACTGAAATTAGTTAGGCTTTGAAAAAATTTTCAAGTTCTGAAAAATAAATATAATTAATAAATATTATAATATAAATTATATTTATTTTAATATTTTTGTAAATAATTATAACTAGATATTGGATAATATTTGTAATAAAAACATTAAACAAAGTTTATATAAGTTAGATGGATTAATATTTGAGAATAAAAATAATTTTTTTAAATTTTTTATAATTTTATATTTGATAATTTTTATTAAATATGAATATAAGTAAAAAAGAATTTTTGAATTAATTATATTTTTTATATTATAGAACAATATTAATTATAAATAATTAAAAATTTAAAGTATATAGATGTATAAAAAAAAAAACTCATCTGTTCACTGCTGATTTTTTGAAAATTTCCTTTTTAGGAAATCTTTTTCCAAGAAGCGTCCTCCTTTCTTTATTTTTTAAAGCAAATAAGCTTTAAACCTAAAGGACATAAAGACTTTAAGGAACACTGTTGCATTGGGATGGGACCTCT